TCAAATCTCAGATCTGGTGTTTCAGGTGGGTTAGGTTTTCCTCTAGGTCCTTCCATTTTCCTCTCTCCACAAAAAACAAACATTTGAAATTTCAATTCAACCTGGAAACTGTGGACAAGAGGAGCCACCTTGTGGAATGTCCTATGCTAAATCTCATCCCATTCCATGTTATCCCCCCACGGCCACTGTACATGCACCAATAGAGATGATTGGAAATATTGCGGATAAATAAAAAAATTCTGAACATCTGAAATCGGGAGATGTGTATTTGCACATCACATTCTCCCCCCTCCAAATTAAATTGCTAATTGGGCAATTCATTCTGGTCCACTCTCACATACTGGGAATCACTACATATGTTCCCCATAATCCAGGAGAATTGGCAAATTAAAACAGTAACTACCGGTAACCTAACAGTGTAAATTCAACTACTATTATTAGGGTTCTCACAAAGTTGCCAATCTAATTATAGGAACTGAACTATGGATTCAATCTAAACTCTCCATTGATCATCTTTGTTAGCTTTAGTCTGAAGCAGTGAAAGCCACAGTTGAATTCATTTCAAATCACTGCTGCTATCCAGTAAGGCGATTGGCAATAAAAATAATGGTATTGCTTTTGATTAATAGTGAATCAGTCAGTGTTCTTATAGTGGCCACAGTACCTTACAGGGACCTCTTCTCCCATATAAGGCTCCTCCTTCAACACTTTCAATATTTCCTCTCGAAGTTTAATAACTCCAGCATTTGACGATGACTGGGTGTTGTCTATAGAGAAAAATTGGGTGATCACATGTCTTCCGAAGTCCTTTCCAGAAAGTTCCTTCAGAATTTGAATGTTCATTTCTTCAATGTCCTGAAATGGTTTGTCAGCATGTGTTCCAACCATCAACACTGGAGGTCGCACATATGGAGGTTCCTTCTCTCCTGCTTCTTGTTGTGTTGGGCTGATCGCATCAACTGAAACTAACCATGATAAAAGATTTTCCAAGTTGGTTTCTCCATTTGGATTTTCCAAACGTATGTCATGGATACCTTGTCTAACATATGGCTCTGCAGTTTTGTTTAATCCTTTGCTAAGATTACAAACCAATAGATACAGTGCTCGGAAGGAAAAAAACACTGGATGCGAGGCATAATAGAGATACTGACCAGCTAGGTCCCATACATCAACATCTACAACTGGTTCCGTAGGTGAGCAATCGCTCTGCAGATTTAAACCTTTCAAATACTGAATAAGGTATTCAGTAAATTCCTCTGGAGGTGTTGATGCATCAATTGTGAATTGAGACTTGCTCTTCAAGTGAGGTGTTTTGGGTGCAGAATGATGACTGGCCAATGTATTATGTTCTTTGGTTTTGTGAGATTCATTTCTGGATAGATCTAAGGTGGCAAATTCCTGAAAGCCAAATGGGAATTCTGTCATGCATACAATTATATTTAAGAATTATTACTCCCAAAGCACGCGTTGGATACGAGATGATAGATAGGCGACGAGGCACGTAGCACCAAGTTGGCTATAATCATCTCATATCCAACAAGCGCGAGTGGAATAATTGTTTTATTAAAAACATTAGATTAAATTATTACATTTTATTAAAATGTTTAGCTCCCTTTTAATTTTTAGCTGACCTGTAGGCTTACCATATTTGTAGATTATGGTATATTGGCTCATA